CTACATTTATTTTTATATGTTTATTATGCGAAACACCGTAGTTGAGGAAACCAAGGACCTCGTAGTCTTAAAACTACATACTAAATTAAGTAAAGCACAAACTTAATTTTTAATTTATTTATTTTTAATTTAAAAAATGTTTTTGTATATTAAGTATAACATACAAAAACATTTTTTTTAATTAAAAATATATATTTTAGGTTTATATTACCTATTGAATAATGGTAAGGTATTAAAATATATAATATTGCAATAAATATTATAAAGGTTATAATTCAGTTACAAACCTAGAGATGGAAAATGTCTAGAAAATGGTAAAGTAGTTGCAAAGTGTTTTATTTTTTTTCTACCTGACCTACAGATAGCCTGACAAATGAACTCATTTTATGCACAGACATACTGTAAAGGAGTAAAATGGATGTAAACATTTGTGCTGCTGCTGCTTTTGTTTTTATTACTGTGGGTCAGTGGGTATGAGTTGCCCTTTGGGGCTGACGTTCTGAACCCTGTTTACTCGGTTTCCTAACTGTATTTACATTTTACTGTAAAAGAAGCTGTAATGAGATGCTACCTGTGCATTCACGGTTAGTTTAATTAATGTTCAAAATTTTAAATACTCATGTTCTTTTAAATTGAAGTACTTTATTTGGACTCAGAGTGATTTCTGAACATTTTTTACATTTCAGTGTTTTACCTTCTCCTGTGGTGTGGAATCTGTGTACCAGAGTGTGTGCAAAAACTGGAGCATTTGCACTCATGTCATGAACCCATCTCTACAGTTAATTTGTAGTCAAATTGCTTTTGCGGTCGTTGCATATGCATCAGGTGCTCAGTTGTTAAGTGGTAGGAAAGGGCACACCATCAAGTTGACCAATTAAAAGCAGCACTCGTCATCCTCAAGTGTGTCTAATTAGACTAAGTCTATTCCAGTGGGATGTTGGTGAAAACTGTAATATATACAGTAACAGGCTGAGGTTTTTTCAACAGAAAATTAAGTACTTGTGCTTACATGGACCGTTACTCGCTCGGTAGACACAGAAATAGTTATTCTGCAACGGCTGCTCATTGGTATTCTTGTTTTGTATGTTTTGTATATACTGTGGAAAAAGCTAAATTAAGTAGTATGACACTGTACATAAATATCTATGTCACTCACCTACATTAACACTGTGGTAACATCATAATCTAGGACATAAAAAACAACAGTGGAGTCTGACTTAAGCTTGGGAGCCATAATGAAGCGCAGAAATTAGCGAAAGGACAACGCAAACGAAAGAAAGCGAATGTAGCACAATCAAATGTATGGCGTATTAACAAATAATTTTCTGTGTATAGTGCAGCGTTATCATTTATTTACTATGATGTAGGTCTGTAATGCAGAACATTAACCTCTACAGTGCAGATTTTCTCGTAATCATAAGTGAATATTGCTGTACCGTAACGTAATGTGGAGATGCTGTTTACCATGTCTGTGAATTTGCAAGTGCTTATACGTCTGTTTGAGGTGTTCTGAAAAAATAAATTGCCAATTGCGGTGATTTATTGCCGCACTTTTCTTTTAATTACATTAGGTGTGAGGAGCTGGAGTGAGCATGGCTTACAGGCTCTCCTACACAATGACTTTTCATTGCGTATGAGCATTTTCAGGAAGAGGCATTATTAGAAACCTGTGAATGTGTTCAAGTCAGCAGTTAGCACAGTGCTGCCGTGTTGTTTTGCTGAACGTAAGGGACGTAAAAGACGGGAGAATATTAGAGGAAGACGAGGGGGAAGGGAGAGAGGAAAACAAAGGTAGAGAAAGTGTGGGTGTGATGGAAATGTGGTTCAGAGAAAAGGTGAAAAGGAGAAATGATCAACCAAAAAAGACTCTAACTGCCAGAAGCTGACAGTTCACGAGAAGGGATGTGAAAAGAAACATGGAGAAGCTCAGTTGCTCTGACAGACGTTGAGATAGTGATGATGATGGAAGGCTAGAAAGAGCCGAGCAGTAATTGTCAGTAACTGGGTTATATAGAGGAGGAGAGGAGATGAAGGACGACCGGGGCTGACAGGGAGGAGCACAGTGTAAATCAGAGGTGTGAGTGACAGGTTAACGTGCCACACAGAGCCCTCACTATCAGATTAATGAGAGAAGAGAAACTTTAACCACCTTCTCTTCACTGCTGCTTCTTCCCCTGCTATCTTTTACTCTCAGGGACATAAATCACACACTCCCAAGAAGTGACATCTTACACAACTATTTTCACCAAATGTTCTAGATGTTAAACAGCCTTTGTTTACCAATATTCTGCATTATTGAGCTCTCCAGTTAGCTGGTGTAGCATCTTGAAAAAAAAAAAAAAAACGACAAAAAAAAAAAGGCTTCACTGTTTTAATACCTCTCTGATACCTTGGGTATTATTTCTTTATTTATTTGATAAACGTAACCCAACTGATCATGTGACACAAAAAAATAGGGAGGTGTCATGTCATGTACAGTACATTCTACATGCATGCATACATTAGTAATCAACAGTCAGTGGGGTTGATGGAAACTGATTAACATAATGTATATTTACCTGCGTACAAATGAATAATTGCAATCAGGCAATTTCACTTGTTGACAGAACAGCAGTTTACAGACCAATGATTCAGTTTAAGGTGTGGACAGAAACACGAAACAAAGCCACAGCTTATGAGTATAAACAAACAATGGAGGCATCTCCCTTGACAGCCAGATACACCTGTGCGTGTGTGTAGTTACAGCATACTTTACCAAACGTAAAAAAAGGGTTTTTACTTTCTTCATCTTTGTAAACTCAGATCTATCTGAGAAAAATAGAGACTACTAAGTAGGTTGTTTTTCTAAATTGTCTAACAAATAAGAAACACATTTCTGAAGATGGTTATTGCTGCTGAAAAAAATGATTTTTGTCCAATTAGTCCACTACATTTGCAAGGAATTTCCTGAGCTGTGGCTCAGACGTCTACCAGTGAAGGCATATTGATCGATTCATACCGACTGATCGGTAAAAATCAATGTAGCTTAACGCCCATGACATTTTAGGAATATGTTTGCTACATTTTGTTGTCAAAGACAACGACACATTCTGAAGCAAATTCAAAAACTAAAAAACAATAATGTTGCAAACAAGAGCACAGTGTGTGTTACTCGTTAATATTACACACCAACCAGATGTCAACCAAAATATTCTATGACCGCGAGCCGTGAATGTTTTAGCGAGTTCTTATGAAGAACAGATTGAATCTGCATTTTTTTTAAAGTCCCGATTTTAAATCAATTCTCATTAAACTCGTTAAACTAAAACATGATGAGGAGCGCGTTTGCAGAAACCCTCCCAGTCACTTGTGCTGGTTTCTGGCTGCTTATTTTTCCACTGAGACGTTTACGTTATAAGACTGTATTAAAAGAGTTTATACTGAATTAATGACCAGATGCACTCATGACCCGCGATTTCCAGCCCAGAGTAACAGCACGTCTCCTACTATCTATTCATAGCCAAGCCTGTATGACTCCCCCAACTCTGCTGGCTCTGACTGTCCGATTACTAGGCTGGGTCTCCTCTGACTCCCACATGTGGAGCTTTGGCTAATTTTTGGGAAGGTTGTGAAGGGATGGAAGATCAAGTTTAGCAATCACAATGTCTTCTGTAGTATTTATTTTTAAAGCTATTCAAGGCCATTTGTGGCAGTGATGGTGATATTTGCAGGAATTATATTGAAATTGTTGAGTGTTAGCACCTGCAGCCGTGTCCATTTTTTTTTTAACATCCACTCAGCTGCCCTGCCCCACTCCACCCCCTCTTTACCACAGCTGGGAACAGCTGTCAAAATAAAGATGCAATGCATCAATTTATCATTAGGGCCATAATGCTCAGCGCGCCTCCACCCCCAACCTGAACATAATGGTTATAATTGCAGTTGCGGAGCAAACATCAATACATCTTCATATAAATAGCCAAGTGAGAGCCATTTTCAGAGTGCATCAATGCCAGGGCTGAGCCCCGAGGCCAATATATGTGGTCAGGGTAAAATGCGTAGGTGCTGAAAAAAATAACAGAAAAAGATGCAGGTAAGCGGGTAGAGGAGTCTGGGTGTCACAGTAGACTGATCCTGACTCATCCAGACAATGTTCGAGCGCTTTCCTTTTCTCTGGCCCCTTCACTACCCTCCCTCCATGTTTTTATTCAGCTGATACAACAGCCTGACGCCTGCTGACTAACTGACCCACTTTCCTCTGTGTGACCCCCTGTGTGTGTGTGTGAGAGCGAGAGACTCCTTGCCTGTCAACATGTGTATCTCTGTGTGTGTATGTGTTGGCATGTCCAGCTGCAGCAAGAACCCGATGGACAATTGCTCCTAAGGGAATAAAACCTAACAACAATGACTTTTGTTAGGTTTATTTTCTCACTCTTGCGTTTGTCTAAGGCTTTGGGGAAAGCAGTAACACCTATTTATTTCTGAAAACAGGGTGAGGCTCCCTCTAGTGGATGTTTCCTGTATTAAGAAAAAATACTCTGAAGATGATATTTTACTGAAGATGATATTTACTGGTGGAAGAGATATTTTCAGTTCCACAATATTGACAAAATAAAGTCATATTATCTGTGGAAATACTGTTTGAAATCACTCTGCATTAAATGAGAAACGCAAAGCAGCAAATACATGGTTCATTTAATTTTTTTAAAAGGTTCTTAATTGTTTTGTTTATAGAAAAGTTCAAGACCATTTCTTCCATTTTTTTTTGCATTTCAACTTGTATAACAAACAAATTATTTACTTACTGAAATTTACCATTGCCTTACTCTAGAGACCAGTGATTGAATTGTCACCTGTCCATATTAATAGTTGCCTTTTTTGCACTAGAACCAGACTAATTTGTTTTCACCTGTTTTGAATTCCAGGGCTAAGATACCTCCCTTAAAGGATTTAAAGCTTTGAAGAGAGAAGTTGGATAGAAAAAAAATATATCTATAAAGAGAGAGGAGAGAGACGAACCAATGGCTCTGGTTGACAAACATAAAGTAAAACGTCAGCGGTTGGACAAAATCTGTGAGGGTAAGAGACATATTTTCTTTTACTTATATTTATTTTGTTCTGCTTTTTATAATCGTATGGATGTGATGTGATAGACATGGAATCCACACAGTCAGGGAAAACCAGTGTTTGTTTCCATTTACGTGATACTCTCCATTTTGTCTTAGGTAAAATGAGCGCTTTAAAAAGGGTCTATTCATGCCAAGGCTTTAATCTTGTTGGGTTTTCTTTGTTTTGTCTAAGGAGCATCAGTGTAAACCAAACGTAACAAATGAATTAAGTAGCATTCAGTTCCACAGAAAACCTCAGCTCTGTCACTGTCTGCTTTCCTTGTTAATGACAGGATCAATCTGCCAACATACTGGAATTTCCCCCATTTTTCTAGTCTCCGTGTCTGGTCTTAGAACTGTGTACAGGAGGTTGATTTATGTTAAAGTAAAAAAAATATATCTGAAGGTTGATTCATTACGTTGTCACAGCTGTGTAAAATCTGTTCAACCATAAAAAGAGGTTTTGTATAAACCACGGGCATACGACGTTCTACACCAATATATCAGAGCTATCTCATCAGCGAAGACAAAAGACAGACTGAGGCGTGAAATAGAAATCAAAGTTCATATAATGTGTATTGACTAAAGCAAGAGCCTGTGATTGGGACTCGTGTAGCTTGCATGGGAATGCGCATGGTGGGTATTCAACCAAAGTCTCCCGTAATCTCCATCAATCTTCCCAAGTTAACTGTATTAATCCAATGATTCTTTGTGCATGGATTACATCTTTGTTTTGTGCACATTCCTGTTGTCTGAATTGACTATGGAGTAGATTGTATGTGTCGCTGGATTTTTTTAATTGCTTTTGATTGTGATTTGTCTGATCAACCCTGCTGGATTTTTTTAATTGCTGAAAGTTTTTATTTCAATTCCACATCCCTCTCACTCATTTCTTCTAATTTCTGATTTTTTTGATTGTGATTTGTCTGATCAACCCACACATTACCTAACACTGAGACCTAAGAGTTTTATTTGTGAATGTGTTATCTTAGGTTATTATATTCATCAAATATATACATCACATATATATATATATGCTATATACAGTATATACATATTATCCATGTATGTATGTATACAGCATATATATGATTATATTTGTGTGTGTATATATTGAGTTGTGTGTTGACTAGTAGCTGTGTAAAACATCTGCTGTCGGCATAATTCCCTGCACTTCCTCTCACATTAATTGTATCTCTTTCTTCTCCATCTCCTCTTCACATAGATGCTCTCACAAACTCTTATCCCACCCTCCCTTGCCATCTCCTTCTGTCCATTCCATCTGTGTACCCAGCATGCATTGGCACAGGCACGAGCGTGAGCCTGTGCCATCTCTGTTTAGTCAGAATGAGCTGACTGATCCGGACAGACACGGGATGTTAGTGAATTAGGTCGCAGTGACAGCATGTTCGGAAATGTTGATTTAAGAGTTGGGAATCTGTGCTTGGATGCAAACACCACAAGGTGGAGTAGTGCAATTTGTCATAGCAATTACATGCATTTTTAGCTGCCAGTTGAACAAAAACTGAAAAAAAAGTGGAAACTCTGCAACATTTAAAATAAATATTGTACCCACTGAGGATAAAATACCGTAATATAACTTGCAGTATTGCAATGTTTATCATTGAATTTAAAAGGGAGAATAAGAGTTTGTCTGGTGAGTTTGAAAAAGGAGATGTCATACTTTCCTTTAAATATGGGGGTGGGGTATCTACCTCTCTGCATACAAACCACCACCACCACCACTGGCATCCAACTCTGGTATTAGATCACCAGACCCCCAACCCCCACACCCTCTTTCTAGCCTTGTTCCAGGCTCAACACCAACACCCATATAACCCTTTATAGGCTTTGTGCAGCAGCACAGAGGGGGCAGTGGGCGACTGGGAGGGAACAAAGGAAAAGAACAGTTTTTTTCAGTGGACAAGAATGAACAACTGTCGTCATGATCATCAGACTGACATGCACTTTGACAAAACTGATTATTCTATGAATTTGTTTCCTTTTTCTTTTTTTTTACAGTCTAGTGTCTGCGTTCATTGTAGCTGGCATTTGTCTCTGCGGTTGTTAAATGTTGGAACTTTCCAGTTCCTGGAAAATAATGAAATTCCAAATGAACTCTGCAGAGCCAACATTTAATATACCTGTGGTTTTTCTGGATTGGCCTGGAGACCGCATTAAGAGGAAGGCACCCTAAGGAGATGAATAATGGACAAAGTGATGTCTCTCTCCATAACGTAGCTGACGCGCTGTATGTTACAGAGAATTCAAGGAGCTTTTTCTGTTGCACTTATGTAAGCCATGCATTATTTATGCATGTATAAGAATGGTCATTAAGATAAGTTGCCCTGCCATAGACCGCCTGCCATGGACGTCAATTTTTCAGTATGTTTAGTAACAATAAAGAACGGCTTATTAGAGGGAAATGACTCTGTTGAATGAATCGCACGGAGAGCAACCATGTAAATAATGTGTCATCAGTTTTGCATTGCAATTCGACCCGCAGCATTATTCATTACAGCAGCGCTGTCAGTGTGATCCCCTTTTTAGTTAGTGGCCCACAGTCGTGCATAAGTCATTGCGTTTAACATTTATATCATGCTGTGAGTACGTGACATGTCACTGTTTGGAAGACGGTTGTTTTTATTTCTCTCGCACTGCAGTATTCACTTTGAGTTAGTGTGTGATCTAGTATGCATGTGTGCATTGCAGTCCAAGGCCGAGGCTGATGCAGCTGGAGTGTGCGTTTGTGTCTGTATGTTCATCCCTGTGTACATTTAATTGACATCTACAAGCCACAATGGCTGGATGGTTTCATATTTTTGTTTTTTTTTTGCATGTGAGAATTCGGATGAGCATAACAGCCTTATGTCCATAATCCAGAGTTTCTGACGATTTGCATTTTTTGGGATCCACCCTCCATTTTCTGTATTTTACTAAAGGTTGAAAAACCACAGGCAACGTAAGACTGTAAAACCAAGCGGTCAGATGGCTCATCGACAGAGTCTCCCTAATTGTTTATTTAACAACTGTAACTCTAGTGCTCGCTGCCAACTGTAGATTAATCTGTACTGCTTTAAACTCATCTCCCTGCCTGGGGATTAATGCAGTTTTCTTCAACAGTGGAAGAAATGTTACACCAACAGTACGAATCCACTAATCCAGGCTTACAAAGGAGAGTCGTAGCAACAGTATTGGCGGTGAAAGATGTCAACATAATTGCATCCTTAAACATTTATTCATTCACTTAAGGTCTTACTCACTCTGAGGTTTTCAGGGGCTTCTTCGGAGTTGGTATTATATTTGTTCTGAAATCCTCAGCTTAATTCCTAAATCCCTCTTTCTCTGTGAATCAGGCATTGTGTGTGTGTGTGTGTGTGTGCGCAGTCTGGCGATGTGACAAATGAAAAGATTTGAAAAAACCTTTTTACTTTCCTGTGAATTAGTGGTTCTACAAAGCCTGGTCTATGTTGTTAGGTTGGAGATTGACCATGTGTTTGTTTTAAATAAAAGCCCATTTCATATAGTTCATGCTATTGTTTACTCGATTGGTTAGTGCAGTTGTCAAATTCTGTGTATAATCATAACAATGTCAAACAATGGTAATTTTATTTTTTTTATTTTTTTATTGAGGAAAAGATTGTTGCAGCCATTTTTAGCGTTCTGTTAACTATTAATTCCCATCTTAGACTGTCTTTATTTTTAGCCCCTTTGACACCTCTGACATAAGATATTTAGGGCAACACACATGTGTCAAATCAAACATTTCAGACTGTACTAAGCTGTTTTGATCTTGATGAGAACAAAGGGACTAATGAAACAAATGACAAAAGTATTTTTGTTCTTGAGCTTGTTGGGGTTATTTTTTTAAAATACTTTTATATTGCTGCAAAACCACCTGCTGTGCAACAGGAACCACTTTTTAATCCATCTCTTTAATCCAATCAAAAAGCACATTTTGTGATCTTCGGAGATGCTGGAGCTGTAAGCATTGGCTGCTTTCAGCTGGTTGCATGCTCCATACCCAGTCAGATCCATGTGTCTGAGCGGGTCCATCATTTATTTTCATCATTTTGTCATCACACATTGTGGGAACGTTTGAACGCTGTCATTTATAGATTTCTCCACAGATGTTAACAAAAGCTCTCAAGAGCCCTTCTTTTGTCAGTTCCTTTGTGTCAGTCAAGTCAAGCAATGACTTGAAAGATTTTATTCAAACAAGTGGAATTCTTTCATGCCCTTCAACTGAGAATAAAAGTGGGAAAGACGTTTGTGTTTAGGTGATTAAAGGCACAAGTAAACTTGACTGACGCCGTGAAAGAAAGAAAAATGAAAACCCTCGTTGTTTAATGGACACAAAATGGGCTTCAAAGTGTTGTTCTTTTACGAAATGAATAATTCATGTTTATAATTGTCAGATCTTTCTGACAACATTAGCTTTGCCTTTTCATTCTCATTCATATTGTGAATTCACTTTAACATTACAATAAAAAAAGACCCTGTAATCCCACCACCTGAAATAGTTTTGAAGCAGCTGCCATTAGGTTTTTCCAAAATGGAATACTCTTCCTTTTATTGTTCTTGTCTAATGAAGAACGATAAATAAACAAGACATTTGAGCCGATGACAGAAATGCTTTGCTTTTCGCTTTTTGCTGATGTCGACTGAGATTTTTGTCCCACATTAGAGATGGATAAACATTTTGCCACGGCCAGATAAGAGATAAAACTTTGGAAACGGAAACAGAACTTCCTCACCTTGTGTGTTTTCGTGGATTCAGTGGAGTAGAAGGATCAGTGTTGGACTACGATAAGATTTGTTGGCAGGAGGTCGGCTGTATGAGGTAATTGAACTATGTCTCTGTTCAAAGCTTATATAAAGCTAACAGGACAGGACGAAACAATACAACATTATTGTGGTATTTTCAGTCACTGTGTGGCACAGAATGAAGTGACAAAAAATGCAAGTATA